TTTTTTTCCAGTAAGTTGCTAACTCAGGAGCCAGGAAAGCTAGAAAGCTGAAATTTTAAGGGGGTTTTTCCTGCCAGTTCTGGCGGCCAGTCTTAATTTATTTAGCTAGAAGCATCTGCCAAAAAAACCGGTGCCGGTAGCTACAAAAACTGCGGAGAACTATGCAAAAAACGCATCTTCACACGGGCAGCCCGTGCACTGGCCAATTATTACTTTTAATTTCACTAGCATGCACTTTTATTGATTTTCAAGTAACTAATTTTAATGTAATTAATTTAATACAACTAATTTAAATTTAATTTATACCAATTACAGTTACCACAGTCGTCGTACTGACGAGGCCCAATTGCATACGACTTAATGGGCCGGAACATTTCTTACCATTACAATAATTTTATCAAAATAGTTTTACTACTTTTATTAATTTCTTATTATTTTCTCTTTTCTTCCTCCTACTTCAAAATTCCTCTCTATTGCCGTACTTGATTCTTGCAATAAGAAAAAAACTGCGTCACAGGCAATCATACAAACAACTAAGACTGCTCATTACGCGATTTTTCCCTTTAGGCAGGCGCACATTGTTCGATGTCCCACGTATTCAGTGTAAAATGTGTTTGTAATGAAGAATAAATGAATTTAAAAAAACAAATAATAAACGATATTTAAGAAAGCTGCTTACCTCAGGAGCTTTTCCGAGATGCTGGCTCACCACTACAAGATTTATGACTGCTTCTGCATAATTAGCATCCCTCTGAAGTGCTTCCTGCAAAACGAAGATAACAATGGAGTTTTGTGCTTCCCCTCCTCTTCCCTCTTCCGTCTTTTTTTTTTTTTTTCATTTCTAAAGAAATGTGAGGAAAATTCCATGAATTTTTACCAACCAAAAGCAGCTTCTCCGCCTCTTCATATTTTTGTTGCTGTATTAGGCTAGATGATTGAGCGACCAGAAGCAGTGGCGTTGCTCCATACTTGTCTATCATTTCTTGATAAGCGTAGAATACATCCTTCAGCTTATCGCGACCCTAAAAATTCTACGTTTTGTTACAATAACATAGGATGTTTCAGAAACTTTAGAGATACAAACACTGATTGTCCCTGGCTAGAAGACTGGAAGAGGAATCTTCTCTGTGTTAACATATGCAGTTTGTTTGGCGCTGTTAGCGCATCGTGGAGAGGAACACAGTTGAATTTTGGCAATTAATGAAAGACTGGAAGTGCCATTTAGATCTCCAAAATAAGAAGCCTGTACGTATAATGACCTAATAATAACCTGTCTGTGCTCCATCCCTGAGTTGTAAACACAGACGACAGGATCGGTGCAAAATGGGATGAGAATCATCAGTACAGTGCCCCATTTCGTCACGTTAAAAGGGACAAGTTGTTACCGGAGGAAGATGAAGGAAGTGAAGGAAATGAGGGTGATAATATTTAGACAATGAAACAGTGTTTTGGTGTGACATTTCGCCGTAACAATTATACAAATCCTGACAAGTCTCCCTACTTGAGTAATGTTTGTAAGGGATCGGTATGAGTTGAATCACAAACCTACAATTCCCTTTCTCCGGAAACGAGCACGACAGGTGTGCTCAAAGCGCCAGTCGAAATTGCACAGGGAAATTTACACAGGAGCAAAGAGAACTGCACTGTAGTATCCGCGCTGAGGGATAAATTAGGGTAGGATTACCCAGGTCGGCCTAAAGATGGGCAGGACCAACAAGCGGCGTCAGCTGAATTTGCCTTTCAGTACCTTCCAACTTGATATGAATTTCTAGCAGAGAACAGTCAGGAATATAACGATTTGCGAGTTCACTTTTACAATCTAAGGAAGGCTTCAAGTAATAATAATGATAAGGAGGCTCGTACAACAAGGCAGTAGCAACGATGGAGGCCAAAAATGGCTGACCAAAACTGAAAGGTACGAATCGTAACAGTACTGAAGTCATCCCTTGTATGATCCAGGATACTGCAAGGCTGTTTTGAAGCCAGTACGAAAGCTGGCACAAGTAAGATCAACTTACAAGTGCCATATTAACCCAACAGAGCGCCAGCTGCGTAATGGTGGAATCCTCGTCGATTTGTTGCATCTTTTTCACTTCTTTTGCTGCCAGATCAACTCGATCGAGCTTCAGCAAGCACTGCACCGTCAGCGCTTTGCATTCCAACGAATCAGTCTGAGCGAGCAAACGTAATGCTTCCTCAAAATTCTGAAAAAAAAATAAACTTCTGCTTAGCAATTCTCAAAGAAAGCAGATAGGCGAAAGCAAAAAAAAAAATCTTGTGGCGAAATTTTTTCATATTGTGGAGATATTCGATATTTTTCAGCCTCTAGACGATGTAACCCCGGCTAAACCAACAATACGATAGCGCAGCAAGATGATCGCGCGAGGCATGTCCCAGTGGAACGCCAGCTTATCTCAAAAATAACAGGAACATTGTGAAAATTTTAGAATTTCCCAATGCAGCCTTGCAAATCGAATTTGGAAATCTACGCAAAAAAAAAAATTTCAGGCTTCAATGCTACGTACCAAGGACTGCTAAAGAGGCCCGTAATTCCTTTACGTGTCGAATAGTCAAAAAATCCACGATGTACGATGAAAGATGTGCAAAACTGAGTCATACAGAGTAAAAGTAAGCTAAGATAATAAAAAACTTAACGGGAGATATGCGAAAAGCAGTCATAGCAATACAAAATTTAGTCTAAAAACCCCCCAAAAAAAACGCAAAACGCAACGAAAACGGCGACTGAATCAGACAAATACTGATAATCTGGGTCAAAACAATAACTAAATTTAGGAATGCCAAAAAGCCAAAATGATTGTATATCATGTAAAAGGGATATAAAAACACAAAATGCGCAGGAATGGACCGCAACTGAATACTTTCCTGTTCACCATGAACCGGGCAGCACGATAGCACAAGCAAATCTGCAGAGTCTGTAGAGAGAAAATCTGGCCTTTCAGTAACAACTGTACCTTTTCATGGATATAAACGTGAGCAGCCATCAGCAACGTAGTTTCATCCGGCGTACGCGCGTTCAGTTCCGCCTCTAACTCTTTCACAATTGTAGCCCTGTAATGCGTGTAAAAATGAAGCAAGTTGCACAAAACAGTAAGCATGCTAAGCAAAAAGGAAAATCACCAGCGAGAGGACAGTGTAAAAACGATTTTTCGGTAATATTCTTGTCGTTTTTATTATAAGTATCGTTTCTTTTCTTATCGTTTTTTTTTTTTTTTTGTAAAAATATGAAAATCATACTACAGCAATTGTAAAATGCAAGTGCACGTCCCCACAGAAGATTCCACAAAAAGCGGGAAGATCAGAGGTAAGAGATCGGTGTACCGCCACTTTGCAAAGTGTGTTATAGTACATTAAGCATGTTCAAAGCCCGGGCAAAAACATAGTATATAACAGTCGAAGTTATGGGAGCTAGAGCTGGGGAAAAAAAGAACAGGAGGAGCAAAAATACTTGGACGACGAACTGTTGTGGGTGGCTTCTGGTTTCGCGATTTCCATTCGCGTTTATATCTTTTTTTTTCCTTTGTAATTTTAATTTTAGATGATGTGTGTTTATGCAAAAAATAAGGGTATGAAAGCAAGGGAATAAAAAGGAATGTGAATAAGTTAAATCGGAATAAAAACTGAATAGGAATGTTTCGGTCCATCAAGTCGCATACATTCCTGTCATGTTCAGTGTTTTTTCATTTATTTGCTTTTGCTGCCAGGCTCGCTATTCCCGTGTCATTACCCGTCGTTAGTAATGATAAAGTTTATTCGATTGAAGTGACGTCTTGTTGACACTGCAGCGAAAAATTTGAGAAATATCAGGTGTACATAGACCTCCGTTCTGGGCCGTCGCTGACAACGTTGGGCAAAAATAACTTAAGGAGAGTGGGTGGTTCGGGGAGGCTGAGAGTGACCATTCTCGCGAACTGTGGCCCGCAGAAGCAATTTTGCTTACGGTACGTTGCTACACAAAACCTCATTTCTTTACGAATATTAATAGTAGCCGTCAACCCCCGAAACAATAATTGTCTAAAATCACTTTTTTTTTTAGTGCAGCAATGCAATTTCAGTGTGATGTGAACGATCTTATCAAGGCAATGAGCCTGTGAGAAAACAGTTGAGCTCGTCAAGTGGTAGGGTCAATTTTTGAGTCGCAACGGATAGGCGAAGTAAATGGCTGTCGAACAGTTGAGTAAGAAGACATTTTACGATGCAGTCTGTGTTTCATCCCTTAGCTGTAAACGAAGACCGAATTATGCGTGCGGGAAGGAGCACGAATCGTCAGTACAGCCTCCTACATGTACTGAACAGCCATGTAACTAATTTGCAAGACGGATATGTGAGAGGAGAAAAACAGAGGAAGACCAAACACAGTAAGAGAGAAGTGGAAGAAAAGGGAGTTAACTTTTGAAAGATCATTTGTATGGAATTATATGAATGAGAGAGGACGAAAATAGAGAAGTTCTGCTCGCTGCAGCAATGGCACGAGAAAATGCAAGAAGAAACAGATAATCAAACCGAACAACGTAATGTACATGTATGCTATGTGTACACCTTTACTATTCTATGTTACCTGGACGCATGATATGAGTGCTGTTTGAGGGATTTAGATTACTTGAAAGGAACCTTTTCGCTGGATTGGCCATATAATCGGCGAAGCAACGAAGCGCTTTCAGTGGTGCTGGCGCCGTTTGCTGATCAGTTTCACTGAGAACCAAACTGGGCTTGTTCTGCGCAATATACGCTCTGTACATGAACACATCCTTGAGCAACTTGTCAGCCTCATTTTTCAGGTGCACATTCTACAATGCACATTGATCGAAAAATCCGCAGAAATACATCCTCGAAATTACATAAATTTTTGGCCTTGAAATTACATAAATTACATTAAAAAAATTTCCTATTTTTGGCTAGGCCCGGTAAACTGATCAGTGTTCAGTCAAAACAAAAAAAGACTCAGTTTACAAATACCAATCGATATAAACATAAAACATTTAATCTCGGCTGATCTGCGCTGCTGCTGCATCCTTCCCTAACAACCTATGGTCGACAACGACACCCGTACAATACTAATGTCTCACTGGTCGATTCTGCCCTGTACAAGCAAATCACGCGGCGGATGCTTGCCCGCTCAATCATATCATGCCACTACGGTTTCACAGCACTTTGCTGGTATCATCGTGCAAAAGGGAAAAAAAAAAATATTTTGAGGAAAAAAAGGCATGCATTTTCACATTCGCGCACATCCAGCAAGTTTTTGACGGCGCATTCATGAGCATTTTATCAGGCGAAAGAAAAAAGACCACATAACCGCAAATAAATAGTAACGCGCACCAGACTAGCCGGTGCGATCATGCGTTTTGTGCAATTCAGCTCATCGAACGATAGCCTATTAATGATTTTCACTGCATTGTACTTCAGTCTATGCAAAAATAGTTCAAACATTGGAGAACAGTCAGAAATTTCACGCAGCAGCGCATGAAAGCTGAATTCGAAGCCTTGGAGGATGAATATCTTTCCGTGTTTCCCGAGTTAATAGTTTACCCGCCAAAATTTTCACTAGCCCGTAGGTGATACTCGAGAGCGCGAGAACGCTGAATTTGAATGGGCGAGGCTGAGCGTGGGCAGAGGGTCATTACCCTAAAATTTCGGCCTCCAAGACTTCGCCGTTCCTGAGATACTGACTTACCCGTAAGAAACTTTCACGGGGTCGTACGTGCTACCCGTAGGTACAGGGTAGCTGAATTTAAATTTTCTGGGTCACATGTGGGTGGGGAACATTCCTCCAGATTTTCGGTTTCCTAGTTATTGTGGTTTCAGAGTTAAAAGTTGCGGACAAGTCGCTGCGGAAACACACACATACAGAGACAACTCCGTGACAATATGCGTTTTGTACTGCTGTTACACAGCACAAAACACATAAAAATAAAAAAGAATTTAGTCAAAAATCGAAGAAAATTGCTATAACGCGTTAAACTACGCTAAAAATTTCGTCCAAAAGCTTTGTAAATATTATCTTATAAAAAATGTAAACGAATAATTCGCGCAGAAAGCATAGAATTGGCCTAAAAGCAAACGAAGCCGAAAATTATCAGTCCAGCCAGTAAATGCATTACCAAAGATTTTGAGGCATTGAAGAATGGTCTTTTCTCTTGGCCCGCTAGCAACACAACTACAGACACACAAGCATCTGAGCAAAATGGACTTAAAAGATTAAGGCAACAAGATCCCCCCTTTACTAACCTGAGCCTCATTGATGCAGCTCTGATAGGCACCGAGGAAGAAGTTGTTGCGCACCTCGAACAGCTGGTCCTCCGCATCCTGCGCGTCCTTCGCCATCTGGAACTGACCAAAATAAGCCAAGGCTAGTCAGCGAACTGACAACTATGACCACAGACAACGAATTCCCCCGGTCTCGGCCAAATCTACCCAAAACAATATTGGAGATTTTTCTGCTATGGGACCAAAAAGCAAGGGAGGGACTATCACTCCAGAACACATAAAAATTGCAACAATCACGGACTGCTTGACAAACAACGCACAAATTTCGGTCTGAAGTACTGGAAAGAGTAGCATTACTGCAGGCAAAGTGCAGCGACATAATAAATGAAATAAATAGCAACGCGCACCAGACTAGCCGGTGTGATCATGCGTTTTGAGCAGTTCAGCCCATCAAACGATTGCCTATTAATGATTTTCTATGC